ATGGAATTTTAAGTCCCATCTGTGTCCTAGTGGGAAGAACTCAGACCAACAGGCAAGTCTGTCCAGAGCTACTCGGCGATAACAGTGGGCATCCAGGGTAGCAAACCCAGCCAGTCCTACAAAGAACCAGCTCACAAGAATATTCTCCGTTTGAACAGAGTTTTAAAGACACAATTCCAATCTGGGCAGCGATGGTGCATGGCTTTAATACCAGCCCTCGGGAGGCAGAGACAGAGGCAGATCTCCAAGTCTGAGGCTAAGCCTGGTTTACAAAGTGAGTTCTAGGATAGCCAGAGATACACAGACAAGTCCTGTCTTAAAAAAAAAAAAAAAAAACAAAACATCAAAACAGGAAAACAGACACTAAGAGGCCTGGGTAGAGAGCAGGGAAACCATACAGAATGGTCGGCACTCTGAACCTAGTTGTGGTGTCTGAATAAGACCAGGCCCCGTAGGCTCACAGATTTGAATGCTTAGTCAACAGGAACTGGCACTATTTGAAAGGATTAAAAGAACTAGGAAGTGTGTCCTTGTAGGAGGAAGTATGTCATGGGGGTGGGCTTTGAGGTTTCAGGTGCTCTTGCCAAGCCCAGTGTCTGTCTCTTCCTGCTGCCTGTGGATCCAGATGTAGAACTCTCATGTCTGCCTTCCTGCCACCATGCTCCCCTATGATGAGGACAACTAAACCCCTGTCTGAAACCGTGAGCCAGCCCAGGCAAACGCTTTCTTTTATAAGCGCTGCACCGTCATGGTGCCTCTTCACAGCATCAGAACAATGACTAAGACACTAGGGATGGTGGCGGGTCACCACCGTGCTACCCAGAGCCAAGGAGTGAGAGACTTACTCAACTGTATGGAAGGCTTCCTGGCCACGGCAGTGGCCTTCTGTGGATGACACTGCTAAGTCGCCAGCCTGCAATGACTCAGCACACAGAGAGCCAAGCAATAAAGCCTGTGATCTCCTCCTTCTTCCATCCAGTCTCCTGCCCAGGCCTCAGCAACCAAACCCATCCAGAGGCAGAGGTCAGGGGAGCCCACCCCTGTGGTCCATGATCTGGGCCAGCTTCCAGGAACACAGAGAAGGAGGGGGGAGAGACAATGGGTGTGGACAGACAAAGAACCTGCTTAATTTGCAGCTATGAATGGTGCCAAGAGGAAGGGGTAGTCTCAGTTTTGTAAACCTCTTTAAGAGACATTTTCTTTTGCTGAAAGAAATCAGAAAGAAATCAAGGACTTTGGAGAAGGATTGAGGTAAGCTGGAAGTCATGTAAAATCAGAGTTGCCATGCTGAAGAGAGCCAGAGGTTATTTGGTGAGTCATTTGTATACAATGAGAATATTTTAAAAATAATTCTTAGGGAAAAAGAATGCTTAAGATGTGCTTGCCAAGTATAAAGCCTTTTAAAAAGCCAGAACTCCTCTCTCATCTTCTCTAGTAAAACCAACGCTCTAAGACCACTGTTCTCATTTTTCTTGGAAAATATCCAGAAAGAATAAACACACCAAGAAACAGAAAAGCAAGCCCTGCCTTACACATCACAAGGTGAAACTGAAACTGTAGAAACTGCAGAGGGAAGGGTTCCCAGTGGGCAGGCTGGCAGAGAGAGGTAGGCGCAGGCTGCTAACCTCAGGTAAGGCTGATAGACATTCCAGATTAATGAGCTGGAGGAGAGGGTGATAAGCCAGAGGCCTCTGTGCAGAGACAGGAGTTCAAAGGGCAGGAATGAACAAAAGTCAGTGAAGCACACATTTGTTCTCATTCTGCCAGGGAACCTCTACCATTGCGTAGACTGGGTTTGGCTTTAGATGGTACAAGCTAAAGCAATTCATTTCTAATCCCCGAGCTGTGAAAGATGGGGGGAGAAAAGAGGACGGGGGAGGACAGGAATGGGCCAGGGACATGTGAAGTCTTCAAGGCTGTGTCTCCAGTGGACTATTTCCAACTAGTCTCCGCCTCCCAATTTGTCCCTCTCCCAAGTCATGAATCCACCATTAGATTCATTCCCTTCTGTCAGAATATCATGGCACGATGGCTTCACTGAGGCACTTCCCCTGAAGACTGCTACACTGGGGAGCAGGCCTTCAACACCTGAGCCTGGTGAGGGAACACTTAATGTCCCAACCATAATAAACACGCACACTCAAACACACAGAGACACACACACCCAGAGACACACAAACATATATACACACACAAACACACAGACAGACACATACTACACACACTTTTCTAAGTGTAACAGTAGAAGAAGTGACAGGAACGTGGTAAGCTTGGCTAGTTATAAATGGAGAGCCTCTTCATGCAGAAGAAAAGAACAAAAAAACTCCAAATGCTCAAACAAGAAGCATAAGGAAACTCAGAAGACGGGCGGAGGAAAGACTGACATGTGTGTCTTGCTCTTATATAGAATGTACTCTTATGTATTCTTATATGTGAATTTCTATAAAGAATATTTGGCACATTATATAGAAAGTTCATAGAAAATGAAATGCAAATGTCTCCATGTGAGGAGATGCTATTAACCTGGAATAAAAGAGAAGCAACTTAAAACACTTTAATTTTTTCATTTCTGTATTTTTATGAGCATCTATGAGTTCCTGTGCGTGTGTGTGTGTGTGTGTGTGTGTGTGTGTGTGTGTGTGTGCTTATGGAACCTACAGAGGAACATCATTCACCCTCCATCTTGTGTTTTTGAGCCAGTCTCTCGTTGAACCTGGAGTCTTCCGCTGTCCGGCCAGCCAGGGTCCTCGTGTGTCTGCCTCTTCTGTGCTGAGACTTGACATGTGTACCGCCACTCCCAGATTTTCATGTGGGTGAAGGAGATCGAACTCCGGTCCTCCTGCTTGTGCAAACACTTCATCAGCTGAGCCACCTCTTCAGTCCTTTAACTGCATTGACGGTTTCATTCTGACCAAACTAGAAGCCACCTCAGTCTGTGCCTCACCCCTTGTTGCTAAAACATCTGGAAAATATAGCAGCAGTGAGGTAAATGGCAACAGGTGGACTGGACAGGAACCCCACAGTTGAATAGAGAACAGTGTGTCTCAAGATTCCTGTTTTTATTGTTTTGCTTTTTCACCTGTTGGCTTTGATCTGAAGTTTGGCTGAAATAGGAGCCAACACTCAGAAATAATCAGAAAGTGAGTCTGAGAAACCTTAGCATGTAACCACAACAGGCAAGATAAAGTGATTGTGAAACCCTAATTGCTTTCTTTTCTGAAATTAGCCTGGCCCAGAAGCTGACACCTAAGGCGGGGGGGAGAGAAAAATGTCCTTCTAGAGCAGTGGTTCCCAGCCTTCCTCATACTGGGGCCCTTTAATACAGCTCCTCTTGTGGTGACCCTAACCATAAACTCTTTTTGTTGCGTCATAACTGTAATTTTGCTATGGTTATGAATTGTGATGTAAATATGTTTTCTGATGGCCTTAGGCGACTGCTGGGAAAGGTCATTTGAGGGCCCTCCCTCCAGAGCACTGCTTTAGAGGACGGGAGTGGAGCCTTCAGAGTGCCATTGAAGGGGCCTAATTCGGGCTAGTGTTTGTTATGTAGCAAAGGGGAACCCAGTCAGGTCTGTGCCAGCCTGTGCTTTGTTGCTGTGATACAATGCAGACCAAGACTAACGTAGGGAGGAAAGGGTGTATTTGGCTTACAGTCGGTCATCAAGGGCAGCCAGGGCAAGAGCTCAAGGCAGGCCACAGAAGAGCACTGCTTCCTGGCTTGCTCAGTCAGCTTTCCCACACGCGGGTCCCACCCTTAGGATGGTGCCACAGTGGGGTGGCCTCCCACACCCACCCGAAGGTCAGTCTGATGGAGGCCGGTCCTTAATGTTCCCTCCTCCCAGGAGACTGTAGGCTGTGTCGGGTTCTTGAAAACCAAGCAGCCTGACGCCAGGCCTCAGTCTCGCCTTCTGAGGTGGCGTCTCCCTACGTCGCTCAGGCTGCTCTACAGTTCCCTGGTTCAAGTGATCTTCCAGTGAGTAGCTGAGACTGTGCCACCAACACAGCTTAACTTCATTTTGTTAATTTGGAGGTGATAAGATTACCCTGGTGAGGGCTGGGGATACAGGCCAGGGAAAAATCTCTCCTCCAGCACACGCGAAGCCTTGGAGTTAATCTCCGGTATAAAGACCGTCTGAACAAAAAGGATTTTAAAAACTATCCCACCCAAACGACATTTTTTCGAACATTTCCAATCAGATACCAAAGGATGAAGTTATATACAAGCATGAATGTAAGCCCGGGGAATGAGAAAACAGCAACCCGCAACTAAAATCCCAAGTCTACTGAGCTGACTGTCAAGGTCGGTGAACAAGCCTTGGTGTTCAGACAGGAGAGAGCTTCAGCACCTTGCTGAACTGCTCCTTCAGGCGAGAGGGTCGGAGGAGAACGTCAGCCCCGACACCCCAGGGGTGGGGCTGGAGGCCTTGTCCTGCGAGAGTCAGCCCTGCTGGCCGGCCGAGGGGAGCGTGTGGAGGTGGAGGCCGGAGGGTGTCTGCGAGTTCAAGGGGCGTGCAAGCGGGCCACTGCAAGGTGAGGTTTCAGTAATACATCTGACCTGAGCTGTCCGTCACCCGGAAGTCGGTGCAACTAACACGAGACTTGCGCTCACACCGAATACTGGTAACTCCCTTCCATTCCTACCGGGCGGGGCAGAACCAGCCAGGGTCCCCACCTCATCCAATACAATGGCCGCCAGGGAGGCTCAGCCTCTGCCTCCTCGGAGTGACAGCAGACCAGCCCCGCCCCCTAGCCGCGGCCCCGCCCCCTAGCCGCGGCCCCGCCTCCACCCGTCACAGCGCTCCAGCCCCGGCTCCCCGCAGCCTCAGACGGCGAGGGGCCCCGCCCCCTCCCGAGCGACAGCCAATGAAGTTCCTCCTGCACCCCTCCGGCCCCGCCTCCGACCTATAACCGCTAAGGCCCCGCCCCCTTGCCGCGACCCGCCCCCACACCGAGTGACCGCCGAGGCCCCGCCCCGCCCGGTCGTTGCCGCCCCGGCCCGCTGAGGGGCCCCGCCCTAGCGCCGCGGGCCTGCTTCTCCGGCTCGGGCCGCCCCTGAGGACGTTGCCCCGGCGGCCGGTGAGTGGGGAGGGGCGCGGCCGGCGCGGTGGGACGCGGGGATCCCCCACGCACGGGGAAGAGAGACTTCGCGCTGGGCGGGGCTAGAGAGCCGCCGGGGGCAGGGCTGGCGGAGGCAGGGGGATGTCGCCGGCTGGGGCTGGCGTCGGGCGTGGGGCGGGGCCGGCAATGATGGACGCGTGGGGTCCCGTCACACCGGCCGGGGCTCCGGTCTCACCGGCCGGGGCTCCGGTCACTCCCGCCCGCGGCCCCGGTCACTCCCGCCCGCGGCCCCGATCACACCTCCCGGCCCGGGGCTCCGATTACTTCCCGCGGCTCCGGTCTCACCGGCCCGCGGCTCCGGTCACACCTCCCGGCCCGGGGCTCCGGTCACACCTCCCGGCCCGGGGCTCCGATTACTCCCCGCGGCTCCGGTCACACCAGCCCGGGGCTCCGGTCACACCCGCCCGCGGCCCCGGTCACTCCCGCTCCCGGCTGCCGCGCCCGGTGCCGTGGCGCCCGGCGGTCGCTGGCCGCGGGGGACCGTCGCTGCAGGGCACGCCGGGAGGCGCGCCGAGGCTTCCCCACCTGGCGTGAGCCTGGCGCTCGCTGTTCCCTTTTAAAGGTCGTGCGTTCGCGGCTGCACAGGCGCCAGAAGCCGCACAGGCTCGTAGAGGCCGGAGGACCGCGGCTATGGGCCTCGCCGTCCGTGTGCGGTGGGATCCCGACGTCACTTTATCCTTGATCACCAAAAATTCACGCTGAGTAACCGTCTCTTCATTTTAAAAATAATTCCTGCTTTAGCCACGTGTTTAATACGTGGCTGGAGGTGAAGGATTAGGGCTGGTCAGGGCGGTTAGGTTCGCCAAGTGTTCACTTGCCTCTGCGAGCCAGTTTCCTAGCAGTCCGTACGAACATAGGGCATGTCAGTTCTGCTCGTACACACAGTGACGCCTTTGCTGTGGAAGACGCCACATCAGAATGCAGTTTCTCCCGCGCTTTGCTTTTTGTGGTTGTTTTCACCTTGACACAAGCTACCCTCCTCTGGACAAACGCCTCTGTCAAACTGACATGTACTCAAGTCTGTGACATTTTCGTGATTAATGGCTGATGCCGCTGGGGCGCTGCACCCCTAAGCAGGTGGCCTGGGTTGTTGGAGCAGGCTGACAGAGTGCCAACACCCTCCAGGGCCTCTGCCTCGGTGCCTGCCTTGTGTTCCTGTCTTGGCTTCCCTGATGGTGGAAGCCAAGTAAGCCCTTCCCTCCCCAGGCTGTTTTGGCCAGGTGCTTCTCAGAGCGGTAAAAACTCCGGACAGTCTTGCCTGAGATCTGAAGCTAGTGTTTTGAATGCATGGTAGTTTTATGTCGGAAAGGGGAAAATAAGAGAGTTTGGCGGGGTGGGACAGATACCTTAAATGATTTTTATTTTTAAATGATTTGGGCTTTAAAATATCTGCCAGAATTTTAGAGTTCTCATGTGCCAGCCTCCCTGATGCTAGCCTGTGTATTCTCAGTAAAATAGTTCCTGGACACAGGAAGCAGCACGACACAGTTCCGTTCAGTGACCTGCGACTCTGTCACAGCCCAGCAGTCCCCCACTCATGTTGGAATCCAGTGCTGTGTGTAGCTGTGGTTTGTCCGTAGCTTCTAACGAAGGCCTCTCCCAGATAGGACCAGGTACAGAGCTGTTCAGCAGCGCAGGCCTGCTAGGAAGCCAGCACCTTCCTAAAGTTCATCCCTTGGGTGCTGTGTCCTAGGAGGAACGCTTATTCCCCCCCTCCCCCGATGGGCACACAAGCTTCTATTTGAGTAAATTACACACTAAAAAGGTCCCTTTAGGGTGTGTATGTATGGTGGCCGGAAGTTAAACCCAGGGCCCTCTTCCTTTATGCTCTACCTTATTTATATATCAATTTATCTATCTATTTATTTATTTATTTATTTTTGGTCGTTGTTTTTGTTTTTTGAGACAGGGGTTTTCTTTTTAGCCCTGGCTCTCCTGGAACTCACTCTGTAGATCAGGCTGAACTCATAGAGATCCCCCTGCCTCTGCCTCCCAAGTGCTGGAATTAAAGGTGTGTGCCACTCCCACTCCTGGTTTCTCCCTTGAGGGTTTTGTTATTGTTGTTTTGTTATTACTGTGTTGAGCTCCTCACTGTTCCGGAGTCCGGCGAGGCTAGGCTGTCTGACTGGGGAATCCCCTGATTCCTGCCTGTCCAGCACCATGTTACAAGCCTAGGCTGGGAAGCCCAGCATCTTTTTACGTTTTTAAATTTTATTTTATGCGTATTGTGAGGGTGTCGGATCCTCTGGAACTGGCATTACACATAGTTGTGAGCCACCATGTGGGTGCTGGGAATTGAACCCAGGTCCTCTAGAAGAGCAGGCAGTGCTCTTAACCACTGAGCTGTCTCTCTAACCCCAACATTCCAGCCTTTCATTGTGGGTTCTGGGGATTGAACTCATGTCCTTGTGCTTGCATGGCAAGCAGCTGACTGACTGAAGTTTCTCCCCAACAGTACAGCTTATGATAAAGTATGATTTAAAGGGTGTAGATACATGTAATTGGTTGTGTGCCATTCATTGTAGAAAATAAAAATGAGTGTTGGACTATATAATTTATTATTATTATCCCTATAATTATTGCAGCAGTATTATCTAAGCTGCTATCACAAATGCTAAGACACCAATACCTGTTAGAGTTTATAATTGCCTTATTTACCTTGGGCCCGGCAGATATCTTACCTATGCTGTCTCAGTATCCTCACCATCCATCTCCTTGGCAGCCCCACGGAGAGTAAGTGGTCCGTTTCTCCCTGAGTCTGAAATACAGTGGTCATGTGTGGGACAACCATGTGTATTTGTTGGAACGGGGGCTCGATCTTAACTCGGGCGTCCTGGAGCACTCTGTGGCCCAGGCTGGCCTCATGGCCTGGCCTCCAGATGCTGGACCACAGATCCGCACCCCAACTCGTCAGCTCAAGAAGACGGCTCATCACGGCACTGTGTGTGCCTTCCTTCATAGCCTGGGCGTTCCACAGCTCCACTGTGTGCGTGCTCTCGTGTAAGCAGGTGTGCGTGTGCACATGGATGGCTTTAGATGTGAACTCTGGGGCTCTGAACTCACGTCTTCTGGGGTTACTGTGTGTCCAGTGTACAGTCTTGGAGTCGTGAGTACTTGTGAGAGCGGCTGCCGTCGTCAGAAGTGTGATTTTAGTGACATGGCTGGCTCTGTCTCCTGCGGTGAGGGGTCCTGTGAGCACACATCCTGTCACCGCTGGTGGGCACTTCCACGTTAGGTTTTTTGTACACGTAAGCACACAGATAAATACAATCAAACGAACTGTTCGCCAGGCTAGGGACCCTTCAGAGACAAATTTTATTACTATGGTGGTGACGACCGGCTGGATACATCTGCTTAATTTTCTTCTCAGAGTAAATGTGTGGAAATAACACGGATGTTACTGTGTAGACATTTATAGTTTTTGTTGCTGATTTGCTTTGGCAAATTGGGAAAGAGGCTGTTTTATTAGTGACCTTGAACATCTTTTCAGATGAGATTGGCACATTTCTTTTGAGAGGTATGTTTTGTGTCTGGTGTGGGTTTTCCCTGTTGAAACCTTGCGAGTGGGCTACATTAGGCCTTGCTCGACACACGCTGCTCTTGGGGGTCTGCCTTGTATACGCAATGGCCCCGAGTCTCTCAGTGAGAAGAAATAGTGAGCGGTGTTTCGTGTGGGTGTCTGGGAGCCCTCCTGTCGCTGTTGTGGCTTTCTTGGCAGGGTTATCCTGTGACCTGGGACTGTGAGCAAGGTAGCCTGCCGACCACAGCGGACAGTGCGGACGTGGTCAGCGGCGCTGGCCTTTGATGCTCGCATGCTCCCTGAGCACTCTGCTCCTTCTTGCAGTCCTCACTCTCTCCAGTCATGTGTGGCACGCAGGCTGTCACTCCCGGCCACCGTTAGTGGCGGACCTCTCGGGCCCCCTCGAAGCCTTCTTTGCCCCGTCCCTCCCCCCTGAGCACTCTGTGCTGAGTCGATGGTGGGTGCTGCTAGACTGGCAAGTGATTATTAGCCCTCGCTTGCTGGCTTGTCCTTTTTATTTAGGCTCAGCACAACATGGTTGTAGAGTACATAATGGCTGCCTGTTGTGGCTATTGTGTATGCGTGCATGTGTAAGCTGAGCCCTGCGTTCTCCTGTAGACGACTGTTCCCTCCCAGTGGGCGACTGTTTCCATTCTCTTTAAACTCGCTGTGTAGCTCAGGCTCACTTCAGCTCATGATCCTTTGCTTCGGCCTCAGCAGGGCAGAGACTGCAGGGTGACCAGGGTGCTCTGTGCCCCAGGCCTCCTGCTAGGAGAAACACCAGTCCCTCCGCTCACAGGGCAGGAGTGTGCCTCCATGCGCCTGAAGCCCAGCCCGGGGCCTCCCTGGATCCTACAGGTGCTGCTCCCGTGAAGAAAGCTCTTTCTACCTAGCACACAGGGCTTGGGTGCTGTGGCTCTTGTTTGTTTAAAGCCTCTTTCTACCAAGCACACAGGGCTTGGGTGCTGTGGCTCTTGTTTAGGTTTTAAAAGCTCTGAAGCTGAGATGGCTCTTTTGAGAGCCAAGACTGCGGATTAGCTCTTCTGAAGAGGTCAGAGCTCTTTGGAAGCTCTGTGCTACCTTCCTAGAACTCGGCCTGTCTACAGGTAAACAGTCCTAACCCAGCAGGTCTCCCTGACCTTAGCAGCTGAGAACGTCCAGGCTTGGATGAAAGAACTCAGCGTGATGGTGACCCTTGGTTTCCACGCGTCTTCACACAGGAGCTGGTGCATCTGGAGTTGTACCTCCAGTTCTGTGGCTGGATACTCACCCTGACCAGAAGCCACCCAGAGAGGAAGGTCTTATTTCAGCTCACAGCTCCAGGGCACAGTCTAGCATGGAGGGAAGCCACAGGCAGGAGCTGGAGACAGTGGTCACATGACATCACAGCCAGTTGCAGAGAGAGACAGATGCACCCAGACAGCAGGCCTGCTGACTCCATATGCTCACCTATCTTCATTTTTGCGCATCTCGTGGCCCAACCTACCACCACTCACAGTGGGCGGGGTCTTCTACACCAGTTAACCATTAAAGCAATCTCTCATCCTCATGGCCGCAGGCCCGTCTTACCCAGATACTTCCTTAAGTGAGCTTCTTCTCTAAGGGGCTTCTAAGCTGTGCCAAGTTGACATTTAAAACCACCCATTGTGTGGGTTGCAAAGACGTCGTTTTTGGAAGTTAGCATTTGGACACGAGATGGAGAAGGCAGCTGCGGTGGGGACTGTGTAATTTAAATTCTCCACTGAATTCAAAAATCTGTTACAGGCCAGACCCAGACTGAGCCTGCTGGGAGCAATTGCATGCTGGATTGGCAGAAGCAAGCAAGTGAGCTTCCTGGAGGCAGCCCACTCGTTTTCGCACGGCTGACAGATGGGTGTATCCCTGGTGTAGGCAAGGCCCCAAGGATTTTGTCTCAAGACTGCTTATTGTTGCTACACCGCCTTTCCGTGCTTGTCTCATACGTGTGGCATGGCAGAGACCCTCACTGCTTATTGCTTTGCGCTGTTGGGCAGATTTCCTTAAGATTAGTTTGAAGATGTACTTCAAAGACATAGTGCTGTTTAAACGAACTGATGATTTCATAACCCGGTGATGATTTAAGGAATTTCTGACTTGATTCAAGCAATGTTAAAGCCCTCCTGCAGTACAGAAAAAACTGCTAGGAGCTCTGTGGACCTCCCTATGTCAGGTGCTTGAACTACACCAAGAGAGAAAACAGGATTGAACCAAATTAATAATCAAGAAGATACATTCATTTCAGGTTTAGCCCAAGGATAAGGCCCAGGTGTACGCCATAATAAGAAAGACCGTATGAATATAAAGAATGCATGGCTAGCTATACAAGACAAGACAACCACTGCTTTAAACTTAAAACAAACAAAATATCTAGTTAGATATTAGGATCAATAGTTCCTACTGTAACTCCCCTTTTATGTATCTATTTTTGAACAATATAATTTTTCCCATACATAGAGAACCTTTGTATTAGAGAGTGTAAAAACCCGTGACAGAATTAAACATTTGTTGGGGCTACCTGTTTCATCCAAAAATATGTCTGTCTCTCTAATTGTACATATTGTATATATGTATATTCATACATGTATGTTTACATATATGTGGAAGAATGGTGTCTTTGGGAGCCCCTTGTGAGTGTATCTGTGCATGTGTGTGTGAGAGAGGGGTGTAATATCTGCCTGCTTTGTCTGCCAAAGGTGTACCTTTTTGCACCTTTCTGAGTTACTAAGCTCAGTAAGTGATAAGCAGTCCGGAGTGTTTCGTTGGCCTTCTTAATTAGGCTCCACCTTCCTGCAAGCTGCTGTTCACTGTTGAGCCACTAAGTTAAAAGGAGCGAAGGTTTTTCTTTTTACAGCATGTTGTATTTACAGCAAGAAACTGTCAGGGCTGTGGCCGCTTACACTCAGAGTTAAAGGAGCCACCTGGCTTGACTGATTAAGATCCTCTGTTGTCTTTTCCTTTAGAGGGTCTCGTGACTAGTAGCCCCTGGGAGTTAAACTGTGTATAGAGTTAAACTGTGTATAGATAAAGTGTGTATAGAGAGTAACAAGGCTGTAAGCCTGAGACTTTGAGTTATAGAGAGAAACACCAGCCACCAGTTGGTCCTCACCGACACTGTGACCCGCCTTGGTTCACCCTGTGTGCTGGAGCTGGTCTCTAGCAAAAGCCTGCACTGTTTTCAGGTCAGGAAGAAAAGGCTGACCAGTCCAAACCAGCTCGGTGTCTGTTCAGTTGAGGAAGTAGCTCTTTGTGCAGCCCTATGCATGTGCTTTCAGACACTGTAGTCACGTGTCAGACTGTCATGCCCAGTTTGTGAGACCTCCAAAGACCACCAGGAATCTACTCTGCTGCAAATACATGAGGGTTTATTGGATACGTGCTTAACCCCAGGTCCGAAAACTTCCTGTGGAAGCAGGAGAAGAGTGCAGCCCTGAGGTCTAGGGGAACAAGGTTTTTAAAGGGAAAACCCACAAATGGTGGGTTACATGCCTTGGTGTTACATGATTGGGTAAGGGAACTTGATTTTTGAAATGATTTACTTTAGGCACCAAGACCATAAGCAGTCTGGCCTAGCCATCTGGGCCAGTTTCCTAGCAACTGTATCTCTAGTGGGTGGGAAAAGAATGTGGTAAGGCTAGTTTTTCCCCTCAGGTGGCTGGACATGTCTCTGCCTGGCTGGCCTTTGTTCAGGCTTGTGCTTTAAACTTCAAACTTTAAACCAATACCCACTAATTTTTAATTCTTTGGTCTCTCAAGACTTGTCCTGGAGAATCCCGCTTGGAGGTGCCTGTGGCTCCCTGCTGTGTCTAGTTCATAGTTTAAGAAGGGAGACGGTGCATCCTGCTTGGGAAGTGTGTCACCTGCCATCTCAGGTCAAGAAGCAGAGACTGATGAATGCTGCCTCTCTGCTCACTCCCTGGTCTTTACTCACCCAGGCTCCTGCTGCATGGAGCTGACTGTCGCCAGGATATCTCCACAGTCGTAGACTGTCTCCTCACACTGGGTGCCAGAATCAGTCCTTTCCCCTTTGGTTGTTTCCTGCTAGATTCTTGGTCACAGCCATGAGGAAAATGACTGTTACTGCATGTATCAAAGGCACCATTTCACCAAAGCCTTGTAGTAGTGAGAGCAGGCCAAGTGTGTGCTTGTTCGATTCCCCTGTGTGCATAGAGTGCATGAGCAGAAGCTGCTCAAGGGAGGTGTTCTGCTGGGCAGTGCAACCTTCGAGGACGAGGCTACCGTGTGTCTACCCCTGGGGACAGGGAGAAGAAAGCGTGGAGGAGGGCTGGCCCCTCCCCAGAGGACTCTGGCCTGTAGGTTTCGCTTTCTCACACTCCAGTTGCTGGAGCTTAGCCTGCGTCCATGAAACACCAGCAGACACGGACCAGGAGTCTAGACGTGTGCAAGGGTGAAAAAGGGGGTGTCCTCCACCGTGTGTCCTGTGTCAGTGGCTGGGCTCTCTCAGTGCTTAGACCCTGTCACAGTGTACAACTCGCACTTTCCTACAGTGGCCTGTGTGTGAACTCTGCCCCATAGACCTCTGTTTATGCCACAGAAGAGAAAAGGAACGCCTCCTCCCACCCAGGGAAGGCCTCTGGCAAGAGGCTTCCTTTCCGTAGGTTAGCCTGGCTCAAAGACATGCAAACAGTCCCATTCAGTCCCATTCAGCCCCATGCTGTGAGGGGACACCAAGGACACACCCACTTTCTGTCTCTCAGCACTCGGGTGAAAGTGATGAGAACTGGCCTGAGGGCCTACCAGGCCTGTCTGTAATGTGCAATAAAAACCTCAGAGAGGCCCCGGGCTCCTTCACCTGGAGTCTCCTCTGCTGGGTCACTGAAGGGTGAAAACCCTCATCAGTTTTTTTATCTTGTGGCTGCAGAATAGTTTTTTTTATTGTTGGTGGTAGTATTTTTTGTTGTTGTTTTTGTTTTGTTTTAGCTTTTGTTATCTTTGAAACATTTAACTTTGCTGAGGAGTTCAGACCCCAGCATCTACAGTCTGACAAACTGGGGCTCCCATAAACACCTGAAACTCTGCAGGATCCAAAGGCCTGCATTCTTGGACACGGACAGGACACACACACACACACACACACACACACACACACACACACACTCACATGGATACATACAAATTGATTAATTCTTTATAAAATAACAAGAAGGAAAAAGTATGAAATGCTGTGTTCATGAGGAAGATTTAGTGGAATTAGGTGAGTAGACACCTGGGCCAGCCCTCCTGTGCAGAGGCCAAACCTTTGCTGACCTTTCCCTGCCCTTAACTTAGCTTCGAGGCTGCTCCCAGGAAGCACAGCTCTGCCCTGTTTCCTCTGGCCGTGGGCGCCATTGTTCTCACTGCACCACAGCACTGAAATTCGGACACAATTTTCCCAGTTGTGTGTTTGAGAAGAAATAGTGCACGCCTTTCATCTCAGCGCTCAGGAGGCAGAGGCAGTGGCTCTTTGTGAGTGTGAGGCCAGCATGGCCTACTTAGCAAGTTCCACGCCAGCTAAGCCTACATAGTGAGACCTGGTCTCAACAAACAAACAAAGGTGTGTGCGTGTGTGCGTCGTCTTGTCTTCAGCAGAAGTTTGTCCAAGTCCTTCGCCTGCCCTCCTGGAAGTAGAAGCCCTGGGTTTTGTTCTTACTGGGTGTGTCATGCTTAGCCTGTGAAGTTTGAAAGTTTCTGTGGTGGCTCTGCCTGGCTGCAGTCATCCAGTGGGTGGCTTATTGCTTTTTCCCAGAATAACTGGATTGTGCTTTTTGTCTTAATTCTCAGTAAGTTTGTCAAAGATGAGAGTGACTTTATCAACTTTGGATGCGAGTGAGAGCCCCTTCACACCTCTGGTGGTTATAGAACTCGCCCCGGATGTCAAAGAAGAAACCAAAGAATGGCTCAAAAACAAAATCATCGCCAAGAAGAAAGATGGAGGTTAGTGGGGTAGTCGGGCTGCCCGCCTGGGTGTGCTGGTGACAGACCCATGTCTACAGATGTGTGTTGCACGTTTCCCCTGGGCTCTGTGTTCCCTGCTGGGGCTTGAGGGGAGATGGTACATCCACACCCGACTGAGCCCTACGTGGCCTTCGTTGTGTTTCTGAGGGCCGTGTGTGCCTGCTGTGGTGCCCGGACGGAGTTTGGCCCACGGGGGAGCAGCACGGCATGCTGAGCACCACAGCTCGTGTGATCCCCGTGGGCACGTTTGGTCTGCCTATGGACACTGTTGTCCAGGCAGGGGAGACAAACACTAACTCCGAGAACATCCAGTGAAAATCCAGTCAGGATGCGCTGTCAGAGCAGTGGGCATTGTGACCCAGAGTTGCAGCTGCTGTAACACAGGAAGGAGAGCAGAGGCTTGGGGACACATGGGAGCATTTTATAGAATGCTGGCAATAACTTAGACACTGTGGCTTAGCCCCTCTTGAAGAGCAACTGGAGCTCAGGCTGGTGAAAAGGTTGAGGGAGTTGGATAAGCAGAATGCACAGAATCTACCGAGTCGCTGCCAGCTGTGCCAGCTGCAGGCCGAGGTCCTGCTCTAACAGTGACGTGATGGCCAGCTGATGCCACAAGATAAAAGTCGAAATAAAACGTGTTTTTAAAAGTAATTGAACCAGCCGGGTGGGCGGGGGTGCACACCTTTAGTGCCAGCACTCTGGGAGGCAGAGGCAGGCAGATCTCTCTTGAGTTGGAGGCCATCCTTGTCTACAAAGAGAGTTGTAGGACAGCCAGGGCTACACAGAGAAACCCTGTCCCGGAAAGAAAAGGAAAAAAAAAGGTAATTGAACCAAAGGGAAACAATTTTTGCTGAAATTTGAGATATTTTCCGTTGGAGACACTTCTTCACATTTCTGAGATGTAAGCGTAATTCCAGTGAAGCCGCTTCCTTTGCTCTGGTCCGTGTCTTCAGGGACACCAGCCACAGGGAAGAGACAGTTGCGCTTGCCCCACTTGGAGAGTTGTAGGAGACGGCACTTTGGATCCCCTTGGGAAGGTGTGTGTTTATTGTTCCATTGTCTGATTTTATTGTCCTAAACGCCTGCTAAAACCATGGTAAATAAAACAAGCAAAAACTCCAACCAAAGGACTATTCTTAAAAAATATGAAGTCCTGTTGGCTTTGCGGTGCCTGAGAAGCAGGCTGGCACCCGAAAGACCCCAGAGTGGGGGACAGTGGGCTCCCGAAGAATTGCAGGGTCTCCACAGCGTCAGCACTGCTGCCAGGGGTCTGGGGCTCATGCTCGCTTCCATAGAGGCTGTAGGGAGATTCCACTGAGGGGGACACCCTTCCTTTCCCACCTTCAGCCTCACATGCAATTCACTTTCCCAAATGCAAGAGCAAGGCTTCCAGCAATCCAGAGGCTTACAGAATTCCTCAGGGGCATCTGCTCTCTTCAGGATGGAAAATGAATCGAAGGGAAACCAGGGCATTGTCCAGGAGGTGACCCAGTGAGGCCTCTAACCCTCAAAGGACATGCTTGGTGAACCCGCCTGAGCTCCAGGACTTCAGCCCTCAGAGACCCTTTCTTAAACAAGAGCTAGCGGGAGGAAGACTGCCACACATCTGACGCAGGGACACAGTGGAGCCACTGAAGGGCAGCAAGTGCACGCAGGAGGCTGAAGAGCTTGGCCCTCAGGCAGAAAGAGAAGCCACCCCCAGCCTTGAAGGAAAAGCAGCCTTTAAAAGTGGAAACGCGAAGTCCCATGGGAAAAATCACAAAGTGGTTGAGATAACATTACAAGACCTCCATGAACAAAGAGCAAAGTGTGAGGGCGAAGACACTGAGGAGCAGCCTGGGGTGTGCACGCCGAGTCAGGATGGGGACAGGAGGAGGCGCGATCAGGGCAGAGACGCTCAGGACCCATTCTGGCTTCCCGGGAATGTCTTAGTGGGACTTTCATTGCTGGCAAGAGACACTATGACCAAAGCAACTCTTACAAAACAAAACCACTTAATTAGGGCTGACTTCCGCTTTCCGAGGTTTGTTTCAGAGGCAGGCGGCGTGCAGGCAGACAGGGCGCTGCAGGAGCCGAGGGTTCTGCATCTGATCTGCAGGCAGCAGGAGTCTCTGAGGCCACACTCAAAGCCACCTACACTGACCTGCTTTCTCCAACCAGGCCACACCATCTGAAGGTGCCACCCCCTGTGGGCCGAGCCTTGTCACACCACACAGGGAAAGGATGTACCCTGTGACCAGCTGCACCAAGGAGAGGGAGAGCCAGGGCCCTGGGGATGAAGGCATGACAGACTTGCAGGAACAAAAGGAAACACAGTTAGGTCCAGTGCAAAGGGTCAGACTTCTCAGAAGCAGGGGGACCTCTTCGCTTCTGAAGGAAAGGCCGTGGTCTAAGATTCTGGACATACCCGGCCAGCAGAGTGGAGAGAGGGTCTCCCAGCAGAACTATTGGCAGGTTTCCCTCATGTCAGTGTGTCAAGGGGGGCTGAGTCAGGAGAATGGAATGGTTAAGTGCAGACCAGGCATTAGGTACGACAGAAACTTTGGAGAGTGAAAGCAAGTGTTATGAAATGTAAGGACGCCCGTGCCAGGGCGTGCCCCTGAGAAATGACGCCATGCAGCAGATCTGGGGCAAAAGGTTTATTGGTGGAAGGGAGAGGAGTGAGGACAGAGGAAGGAACGGGCTGACAAGTGGACATGTGGACATGCAGACAGCTGGAGAACAGAGGGAAGGAGAGGCCGCATGCAGGGAACAGAGAGACAGAGAGCTGGGGTGGCTGGCGGTCCTTTTACCCACAGCCCACCTGGTGGCAGTGGCAGGTGATGGCAGTGATGACAGAGCGGTTGCCAGGCCCGAGGGCGGGCAGTGGAATTCCTTATATGCCAACAATGAGAATCACCCGCCAGGCGGCACCTTTTCAAGACGGTGTTGATCTAGTCCTTGGAGGTTACACCAAGACTTCTCCCATAGAGCGGCCTTCGCACTCAGAGGGTCAGCTTTGGTTTTCTGTGCGAAACACGCAGAGCAGGGACTTGAAGGTGTGAGAGGTGTAACTGGCAAAAGGCACGGAGAGCAGAGCAGAGTGCGTGGGAATCTGCCGTGGGGTGAACACGTGACTCTCAGGCCCAGAACTACCTTGAAGACAGCCCAGCTCCACAGAAGCATCAGGCGGAGGAAGTCTGCTCAGAGCAGAAGCCCTTTGTCTACCCCGAGTTCAGTGCTGCCTTAAAGGGGCTGCGGAGGGTCAGCTGACTCGCAGGGCTCACAGGGGCGGGTCACGGGATAGGGAGATGGTCAGGGTGGCCTGGAGGGTGTGAGTGTCGGGGAGTGTGTAAGCAAGAGGACTCCAGCTCTAGTCCTGCACTGAAACACCGGGCACATCGGTGCCAGTCTGTTCTCCGAGCCGGGGAACACATCCAGGAGGATCCCTGGCAGGTGTGGCCAGCCGGTTAGCTGAATCGGTGAGTCCACATCTCAGAAAACAAGGAGAACAACTGAAGAAGACACTGGGCGTCAGCCTGTGGACCGAACATACTCGTTCACACCGGACGCATCCACGTGTGCACCCACGCCCACACAGAGACACACAAGAATGAACTTCTGTTCCCCACTTACGTTTGTTTTTCCTCGGGTTATAGACTGAAATTGCTAATAGGATTTCTTTTCCTTGTACCAGTATAAGCATTGTGTTATAGATTGCCTTTTTGTGAAAGTTTGTGCCTGTTTTGCTCTATCCTGTACTCTCTTGTGTTTGACAGGTGCCCAGCTCTTATTTAGACCATTGTTGAATAAGTATGAGAAAGAAACGCTGGGAAACCAGAATCTATACCTTGTTGGTGCCTCCACCATCCGGCTGCTGCTGGGGGCGGAAGCCGTGGGGCTGGTGAAGGAGTGCTCGGATGCCGCCATGCGGGCCTTCACCTACGGGACCCGCCACAACTTTAAAGGTTTCCAGGGTAAGCAGCGTGGTTTTTCTCCCCATATGTGTTCTCTGCAGAGAAGATCGGGTCTACACAGCACCAAGATCATCAGTCTACACAGCACCAAGCGGTCGGCACCTGGGCATTGTGGGCCGCAGCGTGACCTCAGTTACTCAGCTCTGCTGTTAGGAGCAGAGCAGTAGCCCTTGGCCACAGGTAAAGGGAAGGACCGGGTGCTGGGGCCTGGCCATGGGCGACCCTTCTGGAGCAGAGGAACACAGGTTAGAGCGTGCGCCTTGTTTATTCTCTCCGCTCTAACCTCAGCAGTGAACGCGCATGGGCGCAGTGGCAGCTGTGAGCGTTCAGCAGTTTGAAACCTCGTTTCTTGAGTTTTCTGGCTCCTTTTGATGTGGTGCAGTGGTGGGCAAGCCTGGCATTTGAGGGCATCTCAAGGAGAACATTCTGGAGAGAACTAGCCCTCCACTCTCGGAAAGAAGATACTTGCTTTTTGGTGAAGCTTTTGGAGCTAGAATATGGAATTAGGCCCCGGCACCAGCTCCCTGTAGAGTTTTTCCCCTCAGTGGTATGGTGATCTAGGTGACGTTTTCCTCAATGAAAAGATTATCTGTCAGAGCTGCCGTGTTCCCCACAATGCCTCCAGAAGAGGGTGAGGCCGATGGGATGGTTTGGAGAGGGCTCTCCTGTGGAAGTCAGCTGGCTCATTGGGTTAGAAAGCTTTGTACAGGTGCAAGCTTACACAGTATACCCCACCTCCCCCACCCCCCACCCCCCGTTAAAAACACCCTTGAATCAATGAGGGCAGCGCTGCCTCTCAGGACAGCCGGGACAGCGCTGATGGACTGTTGGTGCCCGAGAAGCGCTGAAGGCCCGAAGCCGAGCTAGCAACCAGAGAGGGCACATACCTAAGTGCTTTGCCCTCTGCTGAACGCGCAGCGTTGCTCTCCGCCCTCCACAGGCTGCTTCTGTCTGTGGCATTTCTGTGGCCACAGGCACGGTGATCTAAGCATTGTTTGTTTTATGTTGCCGCTAAGAACGTAACCGAGGTTTTGTCGTGTTGTAGATGATAACGACGACTTCCTCACGATGGCCGAGTGTCAGTTCATTATCAAACACGAGCTTGAGAACCTGAGAGCTCGCGACGAGAGGATGATCCCTGGCTACCCCCAGGCCAGGCTGTACCCCGGGAAGTCTCTGCGTAAGTTGCTGGCAGCCAGCCCCCGCCCCGACTCCTAACACCCCTGCCGGTCACAGACACGGATCGTTGAGCGAGCTCTCAGCCCCGACTGTTGTGCCCTGAAGTCGCTGCTTTGTCCAGGTTGCCCCTCATGGCTGCTTGCAGTGTCCAGTGAGCTTGGAGTTCAGTGTAAACCTCCGCCGCTGGCTCCATTCAGCCAAGCTCACTCTAAGCCTGGACACACACCCAGAGAAAGTCGATGGGCGGGTGCGAAAGGGAATCCCGCTCCTGTTCTCCTCCTGCTGTTGTCACTGAGGTGGCAAGAAACTGAACAACTTAGGACGTCTCACAGAGGGTAATGTGGACAAGCGTTGGTGTAAGCGTTCCTCGATGGTGGTGGCAAAGAGGAAGGTGTGCACACACAGAGGGTACAGCGGCAAGGCCTCGGAGCTCCGGCCGCTCTGGTCCCTGCCTCGCAGGCCGGCCTCAAACTCAGAGATCCACCTGCCTCTGCCTCACAAGAGCTGGGAGTGCGGGCGTGCATCGCCGCACCTGGCCTGGTTCAGCCTCCGAGCAGGAGGGCGGTGTGTCAGGAAGCACTCCACTTCCCAGCTTTCACGTGCTCCAGGCAGCCCACCCTGCGCCTTTGCTGCCTGTGCCTTCAGGCTCCTCGGCTAGGACACTTTCTCATCTGCATTTTCTCGTGGTACTGAAGGCCTTTGGCCTTCTCTCTGTGTGTGACAGCACTGTTTCAGGTGCTGGGTTTACACACCATGAAGCGAGAAAACGATTCTCGGGGCAGTTTTCACACCTGCTGCTTCTTCTCCCTAACGGGACAGCAGGAGACGGGAGACACAGTTTTTCAGTCTCTGCATTTGAGGGCTGATGCACTTTGGTTTGTTAGGTACCCTTCTGTCCTAAGCTGCACTCTCCCAGCAGTTCATTTCCTTACTGTACACCCTCTGAGAGGATCAGTCAAGAGAACATGTCTTCAAACAGTGGAGACTGTGGACACCGCACAGACCAGCTCGCGCGTGACTGCTGTCTGGGAGGCTTTGGTCATCTGCATGTCTGTGTGAGCTCAGGGGTGTCCCGTCATATGGGAGTATTCCTCCTCTCCTGTAATCCAAGAGAAGATCCCGGGAGTGGCCCTTGGATCACCGTGTCCATAGCCTTGGGGACAGACGCTGCCACGCCACCCTTCTCTCGCGTGTTGTCTCCTAGTCAACACTGGCTTTTACACGAGGCCATCGTGGTCAGGCTTAGGAGGCATCGCTCTCCTGTTTGGTTTGGTCAGTGAGTTTCTGCAGAAGCTGGAGCATCTGGGAGATTTTGTAGTTTTCTCTGTCACCTGTACATGGAGAATGGTGTCCTAGAGCAAGCCTTTTCTGGCCGCCCTCTGGTGAGCTCTGCCTGTCTTATAACCTTCCTGATGAATGCCATGGACTGCTTTGTCAAATGGGAATATTTTGTTTATTTTTGTTGTGTCTATGAGCATTTATTTATGTTTGGCCTACAATTTAATTTTGCCATTTACTTTTTAAGTCTTTTGTATTTTCTTTTATCTTCTTGATCAGTCATAGTCCTGCAGATTGTTAAGTGTGGGAATTTCATCACATTTCTGCCAATTTGCTCTCCGCAAGGTGTGTTGTTCGCTTGCTCGCTCTTTGCCTTGCAGCTTTCTTTTTGGCTGCATAAACACTTGTGGCGGGTTCCCAATGTAGACCTTTACCTCCGTTAATTGCTATTTGTTTTCGTGTTCAGTTGTGTAAGGTTGAACTCTGTCTTATCTTGCCATTCTTGCTTCACTCTGTGCTCCTGCTTCTCTTCCCTTCTGCTCCGAGCACCTCCAAGGAATCTCCTATCAGAAGGCGTTTGGTCTTGCAGGCCACCCAGTCTGGAGACTTTTTCTTGAGAGGAGATTTCTTTGTTGATGGCTTTGGTTCCGTGGCGCTGGTGGCCGAGCCCTGAGCCTCACACACAGCAGGAAAGCCTCCACCAGGGAGCTGTAATTTCGATGTGTACTGTTCACTAATGGCCTACTTTGTGTTGGTGAAAAATTGGGCTATTTCATCTGGGTTATATTTCATGTTGAAATTGCTGGTTTTGTGCTTAGGAAAAAGTTGTTATCTCATGGTATGTCACATTTTTATCCTCTTTTCATTGAAAAAAGCTAGAAAATCCCTATTTTAAAAAATCAAGCATATCATCATAACATTTTCTTAATTTCTTTGACTTCATACTTTTATCTTTTTAAAACTTATACCAAAAGTTTTTTAAAAAAATCCTTTTCTATTTTTTCTCTAGTATTCAGTTTTACAGAATAATGGCTGTTGTGATATTTTCACACTCGTGTATCTTGGACTTCGTGTTTCCTCCGCATGGCCCTCCTTTGCTGCCTCTCTTCTGCTAGTCCCTCCTCGGCTGAAGTGCCCCCTTCTGCCTTCTGCCCACACCGCAGGCTCACTGACGTGCCCACACTGGAGGCTCACTGACGTGCCCGCACCGCAGGCTCACTAAAGTGCCCGCACCGGAGGCCCACTGAAGTGCCCGCACTGATGTGCCCGCACTGGAGGCCCACTGAAGAAGTGCCCACACTTGGTGCCAGTTCTCTGTGGTCCTCTGCAGGCTGGCTCACGGAGCCAGGCCCTTGGAAGTGCAGGCACTGTGCTGTGGGGACAGCCGTGTGGACGCAGGCCTCATAAGGGAGGCAGCTCTTGGTGTTTGCTCAGTCAGCTGTGCCACCGTGTGGGCCTTCCATCTTAGACTTTCTGATGACGGCTGCCAGAGCTCTGAGGAAGTCCTGCTCTTTTACACCCTGTGGCTTAAGGGCTGCCAGCCATGGGAAGACTGGGACAGCTTATCAGTTTTTTCTGTCATCCTATAGGAGAGGCCATCCTGAGGAAGCACTTCCCATTTGCCTTTGAAGACTAGCCTGGTGGATTTGCTTTGTTCTAGGGTGTGGGTTGTGTATGTGTGGGCTCTTACACACCGCCGTAATATTGATTGTCCTAGGCTTATCTCTCATTTTTCCACCTGTGTTTTTGTTGTTCCCTCTTTGTAGCTTTATCAATTTGGAATTTGTAGTCATTTCCTTTCTCTCACATTGCTCTTTGGAGCCCTTTCCTTCCATTCTCTCAGCTTCAGTTTGACTTTTGATTTTGGAGATGTGTTTTTGTGGGTCTCTCTGCTTTGTCAGTTTTTCCTTGTATGACGATGTGATATCCCAACGCTGTGACACCCCAACGCTGTGGCTTCACGTGACTTCCTGCTGCTTCTCCGTCCTTTGTTTGCTTTGTCTTCTCCGCTCTCAGTCTCCCTATAATGTTTTGTGTAGCTTTACAAGTTTCTTTGTGCTTATTACTTATTATTGTTTTTGTCTTGTTTTTTTGTTTGTTTGTTTGTTTTTGTTTTTGGAGTCAGGAGCTCAGTCTAAAGCCCAGGCTGGCCTCAGACTTGCAGCGATCCTTCTGCCTCAGCTTCCCTAATGCTGGGATTACAAGTATGAGCCACCTCTAACTCATTTTGGAGTGAAGCCCTGTTTCGCAGATTGGCAGTTTTGGGAGGTAGGACATGGAGGAAGGGGTCAGGGTCTCCGGCAGGGAGCAGCGGTGGTGAGTTTGTCCTGCAGTGGGTCCCCCTGAGGCAGCTGCATTCTGCAGAGAGCTTCTAGGGAGCCCTTCCTGAAGGGTTTCTGTGGGCTCGGCCGTGACTTTGGCGCCATGGCTGATGGTCTTCCCCCTGGTTTTATTAGGACTTCAGGTGTGAACCTGTGTCCATGTCCCCTGTGTCCCAGTGACTCCAGGGCACTGGGCCACAATCTGCCTGCTCCATCCAGGGTCATAGACTTCTGTTTACTCTCTGCTGACTTTAAAGGCTTTGTTTCATGGCTTGTGATTTACATTTCTCAGTTTTGGTTTCATGGAACTTTTCTTTTATGTTTCTGGCTCTCCGTGTTTTTGCTTTGGTCTTGTCCTGTGAGTGAGGAAGGTGTTGGTGTCTCCACCGTTCCTGGTAGCCAAGCATCCACGTCCTGCGTCAGCACCTCTTCCTCGCTCTCTTGGCTGGGAGGCGTGTTCCAGCCAGTGCCCGGTACAGTGCCATTAAGATCTAGTACAGACACCCAGGCCCATGCTTCTGGCCCTGCTGGAAGCATGCGTCCTCACTAGAGCTGAGAACCGAGACCTAGAGCTAAGAGGTGGTGCCAGGCTAGGGTCCTCCAGAACTGTGCCGTGAAGAGTCGTTTCTGATAAAGCTCGCTTGCCTTAGTCCTCTGTTAGAGCAACAGGGGCAGACGGATGCCTGCTGCGAGGCATCTGAGGTCCGCCTCTCAGGACGTCGTCTGTGTGTAAAGTAGGGTCTGTCTCTAAAGTCCTCATCAACACGCTAAGAACAGTGACAGGTTTCAAATACCACCACCAGGAATGCATATAAGAATGTTCAGCCATTGGCAGACGTGTAGATCAGATCATACACGCCGCATGCACTCTGTTTGGTCACGTGCATTCATGTCTTTATGTTAAACAGGGAGGAAAGCAACTGGGAACCACAGGAGACGTGGGTGTCTCAGAGTGGCTCTCTTCCGGTTTGGATGGGAGTCATCTGCTCCCCCTGATGTCCAGCAGCCACAGGAGTGAGGGGCTGTGCTGACCGGCCCCGCCTCTGCTCCCTGAGCAGATGCAGGAGAGTGGCCACTGGTCCCCAGGACCCAGAGCCTCAGCCAGGAGTCCTGGGAGTCCTCTTCTTTATGGTGAGCACGTCAGCCAGAGGCAGCGGGACTGTTAGTGTGACAGAGCGCTGCGCTACTATAGAGCTCACTGCAGTGTCCTCCTGCTGGCCAGAGTTCTCCACGGGTCAGCGTTCCTTTGTAGAGCTCACTGCAGTGTCCTCCTGCTGGCCAGAGTTCTCCACGGGTCAGCGTTCCTTTGTTTGCTGGCCATCCAGTGGCTCTCGGTCACTCAGCACCCCGGAAGGAGGGAATCTGGCTGACGTGCGCCTCCTTTTGTTAGGCCCAAGCGCCATCTATTTTCTTTCAAGGTAGAGTCCTTCCTTGTAATTACAGCAGAGCTGACGTGAGGAGGCTGCAGGGCTTTAAAGGATCCGGCCTCTATTTTTAGAGATGAAACCAGAACTGTGCTCTGGCATTGATGGAGATGAGAAGCTGGCAATTTAGGACTGGAAGCCTCTCCAGAGGCTCCATTCACCCTCCTGTTTTTGGAGATAATAAGCCGGTCTTGGAGCCTGCTGGAGAGCCTCCGTAGTAGAGTCGGGCTGTACAGGAGAGCCCGGAGCTTCAGTGCCACAAGCCAGCCCAGAGCTTAAATACAGTGCAGGGTAGCGAAAACCATGCTAGAGGCCGCCCCACTACAGCCGTGCACCCCACACGCAGGGCTTGGGCTGTGGGCAACCGACTTAAGTCATGTCACCAAAGAAAAGTCCTCAGAAAGTATAGCATAAGAACCTTACAAAAGGTCTTGATGGCACCTGGAGCAGATGTCGCTTAAGCCTCAGCTCTGCACACCCTCACAGCCCGCCCTCGGCCACCCTCACCGCCGGCCCTCGGCCACCCTCACCGCCGGCCCTCTGGGCTGAGGCTCTTCAGTCATTAGGAAGGGGACTCCTCCCAGCCCGCCTTTTAAATCCTGTCCTCTGCGGAGCTTGCTTCAAGAGGGCTCATGGTGGAGAGTGTTCAGTTTCCCTCCAGTCCGGCTGAGTCTCCCAGGCTGTGGAAGCAGTAGGCCTGTCTTTCAAACAAACGCCATCTATGAGCGGCTGTGCTCAGTAGTAAGAGACTGTCTCAGGGACTCCAGGGGAAAGCCGCCCAGCTCCTCAGTATGGCCCCCAGGACTGAAGACCCTCGCATTTGCAGGCCACTGTCTACAGATGGAGACTCCGGGTCCGTGGAGCCGGAGCTTTGATCTGCGCATGAGCATGCTGTCACCTGACTGTGCAGAAAAGGAGGGGGCTGATGTGATTTCTGATGTTCCCGTCTAAGCACATGTCTTTGTCATGAGGTTGGAAAGACAATGAGTGAAGACACTGTGCAGAGGGGAGGGTAGCGTGCTGGGGAGGGCTTGTGTCCCGTGAGACGTGTCCAGATTTAAAAGTAAAGTTTGCCTGGACCTGGAAAGCCTTTTTCTAAGCATATATGGGGAGAAGAGAGTGAAGAGGTGGGATAGTGTGTGTGATCATGCCAGGACTTTTGGGGGCGGAGGAGACGGCTCAGTGGTTGAGAGCACTCTTACAGAGGACCTGGGGTTGGCTCCCAGCACCTGTGTGGTGGCTCAACCATCGGTAGCTTCAGACTCGGGTGCTCCAATTTCCTGCTCTGACCTCTGTGCACACCAGGTGCACTCATGGTGCGCACACGTGTATGCGAGCAAAGCATCACACATGCAAAACGGGCGAATCTAAAAGGGGATCTCTACGTTACTCATAACGGCAAAACCGGAGTTACTCAGCATAAACTTAACCCCAGGTCCACGGAGGGAGAAATTACAGCTGTAAGAGCAACATTCCTTCAGATCCATGGTGACACTGAAAGGTTTTAGAGGGGGCTGGAGGGACGGCTCAGAGGGTAAGAGCACGGGCTGCTCTTCCAGAGGTCTCCAGTTCAATTCCCAGCATCCGCATAGTGGCTCACAGCCATCTAGAATGAGATCTGGTGCCTCTTCTGGTGTGCAGGTGTGCATGCAGCTAGAGCATGCATATGAATCAATAAATCTTAAAGAAAACTTTAGGTACCATGGCTCAAAGGATGAGGAGCACTGTGAGGTGTGCAAGGCAGTGTGGTTTGCGTTTAAACATCGGTGCGTTTGTGCGCAGATTTCAGTGTATGTTCTGATGTCTGCTATACATTGAATGGCTGTTTTTGTGTATGGAGAAGAATGAGAAGCTTCCATCTTCTGATTTATACCTTGGGTGGTTTAAAATTTTACTCAACCGGCACGGCTTTCATAGTGAGAGAAAACTGTAGAGATGTTTATATTGGGAAATACTCTGTTCACACTCAGACATGATCCTGTGCACCCAATGACCACCCCTGCGCTGGGACACCCCTGCGCTGGGACACCCCTGCGCTGGGACACCCCTGCGCTGACACTGGGACACCCCTGCGCTGACGCTGGGACACCCCTGCGCTGACACTGGGACACCCCTGCGCTGACACTGGGACACCCCTGCGCTGAC